TTTGCACAGGCAGGTAGCATCTTCCTTCTTTACAGCTGAGCAAAGATGATAAACAACAGTGCTCTGATTAACTTCTGATTTATCAGTCTCGACCTCTGATTCTTGGTCAAGCAAGTACACGAGAGGATCATCAGTAATATAAGGCCGTACCTTATCAATGTTCTCTATGTAACACTGTATCTCACATGTCACTGGGCTGATCTGCTGGACTATGAGTAAGGATCTGTCTTGCTTCTATGCTATTGACACACGCTAAAGCCATACTCAATCTCCACACTGGAACTTGCATTCCTTGACTGTTTTATTATTACGTCTCTTCTGTTATATGGTAGCTTACCGTAGTTGTTGCCACAGATTCATATCAAATGTTTTCTCAGTTGATCGGGCTGGGATTAAGAAACGTTGAATTCATTCACTTGATAGTTTCCATTACCCATTCTTCCAAACTATCAGACTGAGGTGATAAGGCAAAGTGCACGTCTTCATCCTAACTACCACTTTACACAAGTCAGAGAATATCTGTCTATTGAAATTAGCTCCCTGATTCATGCCAAATCCTTCAGATATGTCAAATCGAACTATTTAGTGTTCTACCAATAGACCAGTGACAGACTGTGCTAAAGTATTGACCAGCGAATAAGCCTAGACTCACTTAGTCAAGTAATTGATAATCATCACCACATATAAATTACCCCATTCAGTCTCTTAGGGAATACCAACAATATCCATGGTTATTATTTGTAAAGAAGAACCAACAATTCTCTGCTGGAATTTACCCTGTCTAGGCTGGCTTTTACTTTGGGCAGCATAGACCATACAATGTTGTTGTCACTGCTTACCATCTTGACCTGAAAGTAACCAGTAAAACCACTGTTAGACATTAGCATAAGTGCTTACTACACTATAGTAACTTTCAGTCCCTGAATTTTGCGAAGTCTGAACAATTTCCTGTCTTAGAGCTTTGGGGATCACTGGCTGCAGCACAGGTTGAGAGCTATATATTGATGATTGATAATAACTGTACAACACACTTTCTGTGCATCCATGCTACATTCATTAATCTACACTGGCTCTGCTTCATCTTGCTGCATGGCAAGGAGTGCACATGTTAGCTTTGGATCCTCCAGTTTCTCTTCCCAAAGTACCTGAAGTATTAATTTTGGCATTAAGTTACTAGTGTAACCTACTAATATATGGCTCAATGCTGCTATGACAAAAATGGTCTTAACTACCATATGGTTTTCATTGTCAGGTTTATTCAATGAATAGGCATAGTCTCACAATGCAGTTAGCAATCAATCGAGATTTCCATTTTGCATACCTAAACAATGTAATGCAAGAAAGTAATACTCCTAAAATGCTGTTATCTCAAGTGCAATTATTTCTTCCAGATTCAAAGTTACTTTACCAGTTCTTCCTCTATTGTGAAGTATCAGCATTCAAGAACCATGAGAGTGGGATTAGCATATGATATCATACATTCCACTTTATTCTGCAACTTACAAAACACTGCCACCCCCACTGGCATTAATATCCAAAAATATCTCACAGTCCTGTCATGGATAAACCAGCACTGGAGCTTTCACTAAAGTGTGTTTTAGTGAAAGGAATGTTGGATTACTGTTCTTGGTCCATCTAAAATGCATGTTGACGTTAGTGATAGCATTTAATGGTGGAGCAATGTTGGAGATGTTAGCCACAAATTATCAGCAATAAAACACAAAACCAAAGAAATTGTGAACTTTTCATTTGGTGACAGGTTAAAACCACTCCCGCAACATTATGATCTTCTTAGGCTCAGTAGAGACTCGATCTCTTCCCACAATATGACCAGGAAATTTCACCTCCATGCACACTTCCTGGTTTGAACTTCAAACCTGCCATTCTTCTCTACTGAAGTAACCTTCTGGTGTTTTCATCAGTGGACTTAAGCGTATGGCTAAACATCAAAACATAATCAACATAGACCAAACACCCTTCTCATTACAGTGTAAGCTCTGCAGTCTCTCAAACTGGCAGGTATATAATTGAGAGGAAAAGCATCAATTTAGGCTACTGAATTAATTCATTTGAAATTAATAATGAACCTTGGCATGCCCTCTTTTTTCCTGTCAATCACTAGTGTAGATAACCACACACTCTTTTAATATTGCATGGTGGATGTTTAATTAGATGTACATTGCTTGTGTCTATGTCATGACAATATACCAGTCAGCCATCTGGTTCCACAGCCATTAACATACTCAGTCAACAGGCCACTGGTCTTCTACCACAATATTGAATCAAGATTGCTTGCACAATCCTCAAACAGTGACCTCAGATGTGCCAGCAACTGAATACTTACTTTTTAACATGGCATGGTGGAAGTAGCACTAGCTATACTGCTTCTGCTTTCCATGACAGCGATCCTTCTAGTGGAAAGCTGGATAGCTGACTCCCAATAATTACAGAATAACACTGGGACTTCATCAACAGTTGGTCAGATCACTATCCAAACTAATGCTGTCTGCTTGATGGATAGGAAACACGAGTGGTCTTCAATGGTTTCTTATGGACGAGGCGCCATATAATGCAATGATAAAGCCAATACATGGTGGTACTGTGCCTCCCTGGTGTGGCTGGCATTGGATTATTTTTCATGGAAATGACGTTCAGTTGCTGCAAAGACACAACTGACTGGTAATTTTTGTAGTATGTCCATCCCTAGGATGCCTATGCTAGACCCAAGGTTGAAGATTATTACTTTAGTTCTGTAGCTTGCTTTACCTAGATGTAGTAAAAGATATGTAACTCCAACCATATATAGTCTATCACCATTTGCCAGAACAAAGTCAATGTCAACTGGCTGGAGTGGTGGCTGCATCTGGAGGGCTTGCTACCAATCAATATCAGCCAGTGTCCTAAAAATCCTGCATCAACTAGAACTCTGCCTATTACTCTTGTATTTTAACAAACATATTACAAGCACCACCCAGAACTGAGGGAGCTAGGCTTAGCACCAAGTTTTTCATCACAAATTGTCTACTGTACTTCTCCCAAGTCAAGGCAGACCCTACTCAAACTTTGTTAGTTCTCTGAAGCAGAAGTAGCAGCAGCTATAGCTTGTTATCACCCCTCCTACATATGCTGTGCATATGGTCAAAATTGGTAGCCTTGCCTATCTTGCTGCATGGCAAAGTATGGACAGTTCACTCTAAAGTGGTTCTGATGCCCACACCTAAAGCAGATGCTTTGGTCCTCCCTTCTGGACCTTCATAGTATTAGCAAAATTTTAAAGTTTGGACAGTTCACTCTAAAGTGGTTCTAATGCCCACACCTAAAGCAGATGCTTTGGTCCTCCCTTCTGGACCTTCATAGTATTAGCAAAATTTTAATGTCCAGGAGAGGATTTAGTAACTTAATCCAATAAATCTATCTGACAGCCATCACTCCCTAAGGCCTAGCTCTTCCTCCTTGTTATAATTAAGCCTTTTAACTCCAGGAACATACCATTTCCTCAAGTGTAAACATGCAACTTAATAACACAAGTGTTCAGAAGAGCACAAGAAAATACATTTGTCAGGAGAAAAACATGTTTTCTAAAATAACCCAGGTTCGAATCCTGGTCACTGCACCAAATGTTCTCCTTTCTATCGACTTTGTTGTATTCTTATGTGCACTGATTTTTCTTGGATTACTCAGATAGGAGTTACAGAATAACAGAAGGTTTTAACAGAAAATGCATTATTGAATGTTTTACCCTTGACTGAGTTGGAAACAATAAATGAGAATGGACAAAATGTATAACATAGGGGAACAATCTTTATTTTCAAAAACACAATTAAAGTTTAAAGCAAGTGCATTGTGTTACACCTTTACGGTATAGCTCTCAGTTGTTTTAAAGCAAAACAATATCTTCAGTTACCTCAAAGCATTCTGTTCCATATATTATATACAAAAAGTACCATTCTTATTAAGATTTGGTCATTTTCACTACAATATAAGGGATCTTGTATTGTTGAAGCATCACCTGATGTAGTGTCTATTTCTACACAGGAATATTCACACGAGAAAGTTCAAGTGACATCGTAGTTGAATGGCCCTGTTTTGTTAGTATCTAGGACCAAACGAACTTAGTTTCTTCCTTGACCAATATTCTATTGACGTTGAAAATGTAATATTAAATAAAGGGGTAGGAAACGAGCTGTATGCTTGCATACTACAAGTACAAGAATTAAGCTTGAATAAAAATTTTGGATACATATATTTACATATAAATTAAAATGAATTATAACATGGTCAAGTTGAACAGTTAAAAAAGCAAAGTGGTTCAAAAGTAAAAGTTAGGGACAGAACTGGGTGTACCCATCATTTTAAAAGTTTTAATGTCCTTGTGTACACGAACAGTTACATAAAATATTTTCAAGAGGTATTTTTGTTTCATATGCTTCTGATATGCAAGAATTCCTTCTAAAATTATCATTAGATTATTGTCACATGGCAGAGGCAACAATCATTAAAAAAAACATTTTTTTAGGTGATAGTATTTTCTGAAATGTATCGTTTTATATTATTTCACATCATTTTCTTTAAGCATGGTTCAAAGTAAACATCCTTAATCTTAATTTCAAGATTAAACTAGTTACGTTTCATTGTAAAATGTAAAAATATTAAAATTATTTTTTATTGTTTGTAGAATTGCATGTTTGAATTTTTATTTCTTAGGAGTTACGTCAATACTCATTGTTATATGCATTTAATTTTTGTCAGTCCCCAGAATTATATTTTTATACCCTTTGTACAATTTATTGCTTTTTGTATAAATATGCTTTTTTATGCATGCTTATTTAAGAAAAAAAGCAAACATTTAAAAGTTACCATTTTTATTTGATATAAATGGATAGCAACAAGATTTTCGTTTCATGCTTCATAAGGAACTTAGTAATAACAGTGACTAGAATTGATTGTATCAGTACATACACACTAAAAATTAAATACGTTATAGTTTAACAGAAACTCACTCTTTGTTTTTCCCTCCATGTGGGCATACCATCTGTTCCTGGTGGGGGAGGAGGCGGTGGAGGAGGTGGAGGGACAGAACTTGGTGCTTTTGTTAAATTTTTAGCAACTGGTGAAGGCATTTGACCAATTGAACCGGGGAATATTGGAACACCACCCTTTGGAGTTGTTGGGTTAGTGACGGTGAATTTGAATATTGTTGTCTTCCTACTTCTTGTGTTCTCGGTGACTGGTTGTTCCAGTACGGTCCAGAAGTACCTGGAGTCGAGGGTGTACCACTTGACATTGGGCTATGTGGCGAATTTGGTGTCCCATTTATGCCACCAAAAAAAGGGGTTAGAGCTACCAATCTTTGGCGTAGATGAGGAAGGAGACCACACTGCTGGGCTAGCGTTTCCAGGAGGTTTTCTGTATGAATAAAATATACACATGATACATAGATTCTTTGAAATGTAGCGATTTAAGCAGTATACAGTGAATTGCTATTGATAAAAACTACTAAAAACTTAAGGATTGATCCATTTCGGTAGTTTTAGTGGTCTCAATGAATTGTCGTTTAGTATATTTTGATCTATTAAGTTATTAAAATCCTATGCCCCAAAAGACATTATATCCAGTTAGTCACATGGTGAGTAGAGTGTGCTGGCTACAAGTTTTTGTTTAACAGATTACTTCACATTATTCATCACACAAGTCTAGATGTTCCTCTGAAATATGATACGATTTATTAAAAAATTCAAAGTAGTATTACATAGATTTTTAAGATGTCATTAATAATATAATCAAGAAATAAAATTTCAAATACATTACTTTTAGGCTTAATATCCAAACATTTCGTAATATTGTTTACTAGATAAAAGTGATTCTTTTAACTACGCAGTTAGTCGGCGCATACTTTGCAGTAACTGCTAGTGTGTGTAGGTGTAAAAACATAGTAAACATACTGAAGCGATTTCTTTTGGCACCTCACCAATTTTACACATTACTGCATACTTCTTTATTATTATAGAGCTTACTACGCCTAAGAAAGGATACTTGCAAACCACTATTGTACCCTTTCGAATTTGTTTGTTTCTAAGTGAAAGAAATTCTCAAGTTAAAATTGTAAACATTTGGCTCTCTTATGATGTTTTCGACATTCAGTGTAAGGGTTAAAACCTAATATACATTACCCACCAAGCGGAACTCAGTATTGACAACATAAACAGCAAAATCTCAAGGACTGGATAGAAAAATATCACACTAAACTGAAACTCTCCGCATTGTGAGGTCGTAGGTGCGCTATAAGAGTGACAGTGAAATTCCACTATCCGATTAAAGTTTGTTTGTTTTAAGTTATGCACAAAGTAACACAATGGGCTATCTGTGCTCTGCCAACCACGGGTATCGAAACCCGATTTCCAGCATCGTAAGTCCGCAGACATACCGCTGTGCCACTGGGGGGCCAGATTAGAGTACTCCAAGAATTGGAAATGAGTGATGTGTAACTAGCGGCCTTTCTTAAGTTTTGCACGAAAATGTCAAACAAACAAAGATACTTTCTTTTAATTAATTAGCAAAGCTATTGTCTTCTCAGTGCAAAGCTACACATTGAACTGTCCACCGCCGGGAAATCCAACCCCGGATTTTGCCGTTGTAAATTTGGCTTTGGTTTTGCTAGATTATCCCTGCTATATTTTCGTTTACCTTCTCGAAAAAATACACAATTTAGCTAAAAACAATTCATCATGGTCGTAAACAACCAAAAGAAACAAAAAGAAAATTAAAATAATTGTTACCTGCGATCCCCTTCATGGTCACTTTATTTAATACTTAAAATAATTTGAAAAATGGGGCCTGGAGATGTATAAATGAACGTGAGACTTAAATAGAAAGTACATATCAAAATTAAATTTAGATTCAAGGACGGCAAAAATTATTGTGATCAATCACTGATGACTCTTGGTGATAAGAATTCGCAGGTCATGGCTGTATTTGTCACATAAAGAAAAGTAGAACAGATATACAGCTACAATAACAGAAAGTTAAAAGATGGGACAAAAAACGTCCCTTTGCACGAAGGACTGTTTACGTCATACTTGCGTCACATAACATCCAGAAATGTTGTCACGAAATCCAGTCAATAGAGTTAAACGTATGCGAGTTAAGCGACTTTAACTGGAAATCTTCAAGTTGTTTTATTTTAGTTGCTGTATTTACTTATAAGTACCGATGAGTCAAAAGTGTATTTTAGGCAACATGACAGCAACAAAGCAACTGTAATATCATCTTACTATTTCAAAAGTTTTTAGAGATTCGCACGTTTATTTACTGTGAAATGTTATCACTAGAAAAATACGATACCACTGTTTTTATGTGTGTGTGTCAAAAGTAATACAAATTTAATCTAAGAAATGCAGCTAAAATTTTGATGATCTGAAAAAATGACGGGAGAGTTAGAGAGAGTGTAATAAAACCTGATAAACCATGAGCGTTGTTTGTCAAAATATTGTTCATGTTCATGTTCAAATCGTGTTTTATGTTTTCAGAATATGTTTGTTAAAAGTATGGGGTTTCGTGGTTACTTTCCACTTTAGTAAATGTTTAGAGATCATTGTTTGCCTCTTATATACTTTCACCATTATTATTAGCTTTGTTAAAGATAGGCTAGCGGATGAGTATGTCATTCGGTCGTGCACATCAGTAATAATGTAAACAACACAATTATTTTTGTTTGTCACTGAGAAATGTCGCCTCGTATTAAAAAAAAACATTTCAAGATTCCTATGGCTCAGAGGAAGTCAGGACTTATAATGCTAAAATTCGGGTTTCGATAAACATGGTAGGAACAGCACGGATAACCCATTGTGTAGCTTTGTGCTTAACAACCAACAAATAAACAAAACCTGTTTTTAACTTTCTTTCCATGCTTTATTTAGTTGTCGAGATTAAAATCAGTAAAGATTGTCGTACAGTTGCATTTACTAGCAATGTGGTTGTTGTTAAGTGTAAAGTTACACAATGGGTTATCTGTGCTCTGTCCACCACGGATATCGAAACCTGATTTTTACAATTGTAAGACCGCAGACTGGGAGCATGATAACAATGATTTAATGGTGAAATTTAAGTTGATACAGAAAAAAATATGTTTTTGAAAGTTATAAAGCGAATGACTTGCGATGGATGGTCTTCTGCAAAGAGGGACTTTTTATAAGTGAACCATCTGTACATTACTGTAGAACAGCCAAGGGTCAGGCGTGACTAACTGGTTAGTATGTCTGGACTGTGAATCTGAGGGTTCGTCGTATGGGTCCTTTTGGGCTATAGCTGTGCTATAAGAGTGACGGCCATGATATAAGTAGCCAAAGAGTTGATGGTGGGTACTGTTGACTTTGAGCTGCCTTTCTTCTAGCCTATCATTTGAAAATAAGTGCGTCTATTGGCAGATAAGAATTATGTGGCTTTCAGCGAAACTTCTATAAAGCAAGTAAACAGAACAGCTAATCACTAAATAAAAATGCATTGGAAGATGTCTGAGAAAATGGTAGTTTCAGGAATCCTGATACACAAAACAATCGTTTGTTTTCATTAAGCAGTTAAAAGTATTTAACATTATCAGGTGTTGTTCCACAAATTATATTTTCACGATTCTGATGGAATTTAAGAAAATTGGACAGAATGCAATTAGTTAAAACGTCTTGAATTGAGATTGAAAGAGATTCCACCAGCTACTGCTATCCGTGTATAAATATCTCTGAACACCTAGTGATATCGTAGGGAAAAAAAGTAATAAAAAGTCTTGCAGAAAAAAGGAAGCAAAAGAAAATTTCACAGCTAATATATTATAACTAAGAGAAATGAGTTTATGTGGTTATATCCCAGCACAATGAAAAAGTTATCAGAGTGCAGATCGTCCAAATATATTGAATCCATAAGAAAATACGTCATAACCTAGTATTATAATAGACAGAAACCTTTCGCTATAAGTTAAAACAAAAATCAGACACCCTTCTAGGATACTGCAATAAATAGAAAGAAAACACTGGGTTATAAATGATACAACAGTAAATAATAACATTATTAACATTGCTGAGTAGTGACACGATAGAGTGGAGCAAGCGGTAGAGTTATACTTTAATGACGAAACTAAAAAATCTGGTTTGTAGTAGACGATGAGCATTAAAGTACGAGAAAATATGCGTAAAATCAGTATTAGTAAATACTGGCAGAAACCTGCTCTGTGGGTGGCTGTTTGTGCTAGTAATTACTAATTGTAGTATTCATACCTCATTGAAAAAATGTAAAGAAAGTTAATGTTTTCTAAAAAAAAAATGATTTTTCTGGGAAAGGGTTCGGATTGTGCTGATATAAAGTGTAATGTTTATATATATATGTCTATATTAAAAGTGGTACTATTTATTGAAAAAATAACAGTTTTGATTTAAGAACTCCATTTTTTAGTACTATATTTACAAATTACATCAATAAAGATATAATTTAACCCTCACGCACAGTGAAAGTCGTGTTCTTGTTGTGAGGAGAGTACTTTTATTTAAAATTGTGTTGTGTAATAAAGAAATTGTTGTTGCACATATCATGGTTATTTTTCTAATTGTATGAAACTTGAATACGCAAAGTGGGAAATATTTTGTGGATTTTTGTTTGCGGTGCCATTCAATAGATGACGTCATATTATATTTATTATTTCGGTCATATATATACACACGCTACGTCCATTATAGTAGGGTGAAATATGATGAAGAATGGTTCGGACAATTAATGAAAACAATTCCCAGTTTTGGACGCTGACGTCTTTAACAAAAGCATTAAACAACTTTGAATCCAGTTGTATAGGCTTACAATATTCTTACGCATAAGACAAACGTTATCAAGAAACTATCAATAAATAAAGAATAAAACTTTGTGAATGTCTAATGTTGCCTTTGTAACTATTTTTCCCATAGTTTATTGTACCCATTCTGCCACGATTACACACTGCTGCCTTACACCGCAATCTCCACTGTAACAACGACTTTGAGATCAGTCTTAGACCATACATCATGACAATTGTTTCACAGACCCTCCTCTGAACGTGGGCGTTTTAGTTTCTAATGATCATATAGAACAAAGACACACAATTTTTTTTGGAACTTTAATGAAAGACTTGAATTGAATTGTTGTGATTTGAGTTTATTCAGATATTCTTTCCATGAAATCAACCAATGGACGTTTTTGAACTATTTGCTTGTGCTTCTGTCAACTACAAATCTCGAATCTTGTTAACGGTACTAGGAGATCTGCACAGATTAATCGTAATGATTTCCTCGGATTGAGGGTTCTCTTCAATAACAGTAGCCTTCTGTTTGTGGATGAAGGCGTTGCTCTCGATTGGCTTGCTGTCCGAAATGGTCTCTTTTTCTACATCCATGGAAGACAATGAAAACTTCGTCCTCCGAAATGTTTGTTCTGCATCAAAATCTTTATGCGAATTTCCTTCTTCTCAAAGTACTGGACATATTCGCACATCTTCAAATCCATCACTGAAGAAATTTCACGTCAAATGGTCGGAAATTCGCCGTGAAATAAACTTATATGTCATCCACGGCTGTGATACATCATTGTATCAGCATTAATAAATCGTTCCTATAAAATGCGATTACTCTATTTGTCCGGTAGCAGGTGAGCTTAAAGCAGAAAAGAATCTATGATATTTCAGTTTCCTGGTTTGAAATACAATACAGTTTGTTTGTAATTAAGCAAAAAGCTACACAATGGGCTATCTGTGCTCTGCCCACCACGGGTATCAAAACCCGGATTCTAGCGTTGTAAGTCCGCAGACATACAGCTGTGCCACTGTGGGGCAAATAAAATACAGATGAACAATAATAGCGACACATTAGATTTACTATTTTTTAAACAAACATATTAGTGTATTATCATACAACATTAATATATAATATAACTTTAATTACAATTATATAAACGTTTTTATTAGACATGTAAATATTAGACACAAATAACAAACATTATTTGAAAGGGTAAGAAGGTGTGTTTTGATTTGTGAATAATGCTATTAATATATTCTGTAATATTTTTATGGTTAAATGTACAAACTTTATAGCAATGTTGTTTCTAGATGAATATGCTTACTGTTGTTTTTAAGGTTACGCATACTTTAAAAACTGTAGCCCTAAACATTTTTCACTTGAGATGCAAACTTACAAAACATTTGTGGTTTTAATGATGAAATTAATGAATCTCTTTAATGTATTTGTGTATATACGTATATGTGATTTGAGTATACAAATGAAAGAGTTGTTTATAAATGTATAAAACGCTCAAACTAAAAGCATCAGTGCAAATCGAGACTCCAAAGTAAAATAGCAAGGAGCGTCGAAGCTCGAAACTAAAAGTACTAGAGTTGTTGTTTATAGCGCGAAACAACATAATGAGCTATCTGCACTCTGTTCACCGTGGGAAATCGAACCACGGATTTTAGCCTTGTAAGTTCATAAACCTATTGCTGACCCACCGAGGGACAAATATTAAAGTGCGTCAGGAGGCCAGATACAAAATATCAGGATTCCAAACTAAGAATGTTAAAAGTTCAAGGTGTGTTAGGAATCAGAAAACAGAGAATTAAAATTCCAAAGTAACAATGTTAAAGTTGTCAGTTATCCAAATTATGAATACAAATGTATGCTATTTTTCAGAACCAAAAATGGAGATTAATCACTCTAGAGCAACAATAAAAAAACGGAGAGTTTCCGGAATTTCAGAGAAAGCAATATCGGTGTCTATTAGTGTTCCAAAGTAAGAGTATCGGGGTTTGTTATGATTCTAAAAGTAAGAATATGGGGGTATGTTACGGCTTCAAAGTAAGAATATTGGGGTATGTCACGGCTTCAAAGTAAGAATATTGGGATATGTCACGGCTTCAAAGTACGAATATTGGGATATGTCAGGACTTCAAAGTAAGAATATTGGGGTATGTTAGGGCTTCAAAATGAGAATATTGGGGTATGTCAGGACTTCAAAGTAAGAATATTGGGGTATGTCAGGACTTCAAAGTAATAATATTGGGGTATGTCAAGGTTTAAAAGTGAGGATATTGGGGCTGTCACCTATTCGAAGCAAAATAATAGCGTGCCATTTTTCAGACTTACGGTGGGACTAAATTCCTTCGGAAAAATAATTTCAGTTAATATTTCTAAGACAAAATCGTTTAATATCAAGACACTAAAAGTATAGTATTAGTTTAAACTTTTTTTTCAGACAGTGTAATAAAAACATGCTAATTTTTCTATATTTGATGACACTTTGTATGTATTTGAGTAATATTACAGTTTTCATTGGTCCCTTATTACATATAGCTATCAAATATAACTAAATGAAAAATGGCGGCTGAATATCAATGTCCACAGAACAGAGGTCGACAGTATAAAAACCAAAAGAATAAAGCTAAGAATTAATAAGAGAAACAGTCTGAGCTTTGTTAGTTTGAATTAAAACACTTATGTTTTAGAATAAACAGTAAGTTAAACTTTCGTGTTTTAGCATAAGAATATAAGTTGAACTAAGAATAACAACTTACCGTACTTCAAATCCTTTCTCCATATTGACAACCTGTCATTTGTATTAATAACACCAAGTTCAAAATGAGACCTGATAATGAGAAGCAACCAATTCAAAATTCAGTCTACATCTACTGCCTTAAAGACAACGGAGAGGTGCTCAAAACAGTTATTTTTGGAACTATGGCTTTTTTCCTATCTCAACGCAGCAAATTTTAATGCGGAGGTCCACTGGCACTCCACGCATGCGCTACCAAAGTACCCGGTGTCAGTATTCAGGCTGTGTTTGCTGGTGCAGCAGGTACCCCGAAATATCTCAATGCTATATTTATTTTGTCCCACGCATCTGTCAGCTTGCCTTCGTTTTTGTATAGTAAACTTTGTTTAAAACTCGAATAAAAGATTAAATATTATCGAAATCTGATCAAACTCTTCTCTCATATTGTGTCAAGATATTAGTTGAAATATAAGATCAGTAATAATAATTTCAACTATGTTACACGTCGCAAAGAACTTTAAATGTCAAAGGATATAACAACTAGTATTTAACAAGTAAAGTTTTTTTTTTAAATGTGTAAACAATTATTTTTTATTCTTACATAACAGTCAAAGCTTCATTAGCCATGGCCTACTACCCTTTAACACAGTTGGCAAGTAAAAATATATATATATTTTTTTTATTCGCCTTTTTTTGGCTGACAAGAACTTTCTACCCCTCAGATGACTACAACTGCACATTCCAAACCTATTTCTGGCATGAAAACTACAGAAGTTGATCTGGACAATAAATAACATCCTATACCCATGCTTTACTCTTACACCACCAGATTCAACTAAAAGTCAAATGCCCATAAAAGGAATGGTTAAAACAAACACTGGCAAACTATAACTACATTAATTATTATATTGTTTTGTTCTAGATTATAACTACATTAATTATTATATTGTTTTGTTCTTTCTTCCGTCTGAGTTTGACTAAGAAGTTTCAAAATCATATTTTTTTTCAAAGTTAAATAACAGTTTTGCCCCTCCTCCGATGGCTTAGCTCGAGGGCTTATAATGTTACAATTCGTGGTTTGATCCCTGCATTAGGCACAAGATAGTTCATTGTGTAGCTTTGTGCTTAACAAAACAAATAAATGAAAGCTCTAATGTTAGAAATCGGCAGAAGAATTTAGAACTTTGTACTTAGAAGATGCTGAAGGGAATATGTCGTTAAGAAATGAGCTTCAGTATTGTTCACGAATTTCTGACCGATAACATTTTGAAACGAAATTAAAATGAAATATATTTATCTATTCTTATTGACCAGTAAAATATTGTTTAACATAATAATTAGCCAACATAAGGAACTAACATCAGTTAAGCAGAAAATAAAAGTTTGTATGATTACAAGAGAGAGGAAATGTTTCTTTAAATAGTACGAACAACAACTGCCCATGAATACTCTGTATTAGAGTTATCATAAGGTTAGTTACATTAGTTTGTTTGCAAGAAAAGGGTGGTCAATAGAAACTCGTCGAACAATATTTGGTTTAAAATCATAGTCTTTAGTATTGTAATAATTCATGTCTGAAATAGTTAAGTGTCTAGAGTTACTGAATGGAACACTTATAGACACAACGTTGTTGAACGGCATAATAATTTATTATTATTATTATATGTGAACACGTTTTTTTTTTAATATGTATATATTGGTATTTCATATTTTCAACCTTAACAGCATCGTAGGCGCAAATGACTAAATTGCCAGGTCAGAGACCCCAGAGTTCAGGCATAGTCATGTATAATTTAGAATTGCTGGCCATAGAAAGGGCAATCAGTGAACAATTGCTTAAAAATTTTGTACTAGGTAAAGTTAAAATCCCAAATTAAAAGTTCTTTGTTTTTAATAAGAGTTTGTATGGTTGAACGCGGCCCAGTGGTTAACGTGTCGGCCTGTGGACCTGAAGTTCGTGCCCCCTTATCGCCGACAAAAAAATTACTCTACGCACTTTTGGGGTCGTGGGTATGTTATAATGTGAGAGTAAAATTTTATTATTCGATCAGAGCAGCCCACGAGTTGGTGGTGGGTGGGTTAACTAGCTGCCTTCACTCTGGCCTATCAGTTCTAAATTAGGGACGGCTAGCGCATATAGACCTCAAGTAGGTTTGTGTGAAATTCAACAAACAACAACGATTGAACTTTTACACTAGGCCCTGTATGGCCAGTTGGTTATGGCACTCGACTCGCAGTCTGCGGGCCGCAGGTTCGAATTCCCGTCCTACCAAACATGCTCGTCCTTTCAGCCATGGGGGCGTTATAATGTGACGGTCAATTCATTGGTAAAAGAGTAGCCCAAGAGTTGGCGACGGGTGGTGATGACTAGTTGTATCAGCTGCTTTATCTCTAGTCTTTCGTACTCGAAATTCGTAACAAACAAACCAAACTTTCACATTAAACGAATTAACCGTTTTACTCGATATACTATTATACTAGGACTCTGGTTCTAGTAGCAGACAGTTATATTAATAAAATATTTTTTCATTTTTTAAGTTACTTATTTTTGATAAATCAGTGCTATTTTCATTTTTCACGTGTAGTTTTTACTGAATATTTTATAGAGATTAAAGACTTGAAACCAATGAGGATATTATATATAATGTGTCATGCAAAGTCTATGAAACAATTATTGAACATCTAAACATAAACAAAGATCACAGCATTACCTCAATGATGATTGCTTTTCCAGTTGTTGAGTTGTCTAAATATTGAGTCACACATGTCAAGGATATTCATTAAGAAAGTGATATTTTGTGGGAGTTGTTCAAATATGATGTTGAGCTATATAGGGGACCAGAAGAAAATATTAAGAAAGTAATATTCTGTAGTAGTTGTTTAAGAATGATATCGAGCCATATAGAGGACCAGAAGAAAATATTGAGAAAGTAATGTTTCGTGGTACTTGTTTAAAATAATGATATCGAGATTTTGAACCAGAAAGTAAATGACATATTCAGGTAAAACTGAGTTAACCTTAGAAAAATTTGATAGGTCTACGTAAAAAAAGATTGGATCAAGATACCATTAATGAGTAAATGGGTCATGAGTATGGATGAAATAAAGAAACTGGATATCAACTGAAACACAAATGAACTATATACATTATATCACACTAAAAACATAAACACGGTGTGTGTAATTGTTTTGTTGACAAGGAACGAGCGCTTTTATTGGACTTTCTATCTTCAATTAGTCAGGATGAATCAATGTACCAGACTGACTAAATCCAGCATTTTTTTACCTTGCAAAAAAGTGTCAAACGTCATATTTATCTGCTACTCACGTGACACGTCATTTTCATTCACAACTAGTGGCACTTTCCAAAACTAAACAATAGTAATAAGCGTTGGAACTACCATAATATCTGGAATGCTTTGTTGATATTTCCAAGATGATCGTCAGGCAAAAGAAAAAGTTTTCTGAAGAGTTGGGATTTACACAACGTTCGGAGGTAAATGCAATAAAATAAAATAACTGTAAAAAACACAACATTGAAATAGAAACAAATTGGTATTACCTAGTGACGTTTCGAGCAACTGCTCTTCTTCAGGCTTAATTTCATTCTGACATTAACCCTGAGAAAAGTGGTTGCTCAAAACGTTTCAAGATAAAATAAACTTGATTCTGTTTGAATGTTGTGTATTAAGAGTGAGTTTATTTTCAAAGAAAAAGTTGCTTCATACATATCTACAATGAACTGTAAGTCACCTATCACAAGTGTTATGTCTCTCATAGATGCTCCCATATTGCATTTATCAATTTCAACCCTCCTTCGGGCCGTTGAATATGTTTGAGCCATTTTTAAAAGCAACACCTGAAATCAATGATTACAAAAGATGATTTTAGGAACAGAGCACGCCAATGCTGAATGTCAGTGCTGAATTTTAGAATGCACTCTAGGTGAGGCCGTAACGACGAAATATCACTTGAACTACCACTGAAGACACAAAGAACACTGCTGTCGGCATCCTTGCGGAACGGAACTTGTCGTACTGCAACAAGGACACCCACGGGCAGAACATCTATTAACTACTCGAAAATAACAAAGGAACAAAAGCAGTTAGAGCGAAATAAACATAACGACTTTCTCGACCACGTGTTATACGAAACCTGCATGAATGAAGAATAAATTTAGAATAAGTACACTATGATATAGGGTGTTTATAAAGTCTCTATCTATTTCAGAGAAATAACGGGCAACTGTGTTAAATTCAATTATAAAACGATAGAATTGAATTTATTGAATACTTAAGAATAAGGTTCTACATGTGCACCATCAATATCTCTACAGAGCTCAAACCTTTCCGCAGCATTTCTGAACACATCCTGGAGCATTTAAGGGGTTATTTTGTGAACAGCCGTTACAATGCGTGTACGTAAGTCCTACAGATCTTTAACCTTCGTTTGATAGACGTCTGATTTGAGAAAGCCCCATGCAAAGAAATCCAAGGGTGTTAGATTTGGCGACTGAGCCGCCCAGGGCCTGCTGCTTCCACGTCCGATCCACTGATCTGGAAATCATTCATTCAGGTACTCCCGAACAATGTTTGCGAAGTGACAAGATGCATCATTTTGCTGAAAGACGACGGTGTTCAATATCCCATCCCCAACCAACTGGGGTTCTAGGTACTGCTGCAACATGGCCAGATAAACAGCCTCTGTAACTGTAGCTTCAGCTTACATTTAGTCAAACCCAACCAGACATTAACTTTAGAAATATTTCTTTCCCATTGATAGGATAAATGAATTGGTCTTTCATTAGCCCATATGCGACAGTTATGGTGATTAACCTTTCGCCACGTATGGAAAGTTGCTTCATCACTAAAGAGAATGTGGTCCATTAGATTTTCATTCTGAATGCGTTCAACGAGATCGGCACACATTGCACTTCGCACTGGGTAGTCCTCTTCATGCAAATCATGTAAAATCTGAAGGTGATAACTTTTCTTATGCAAATGTGATGTCAACATTTTGTAGACCGTTGAACTGGGCAGCCTGAGTCTTGATGATGCGGCACGAATTGACATGCGTGGTTGTTCCGTGATAGCCTTTCGTACTGCATTTACAGCATGCTCTGAAACACGTGAACATTCATATCGTGGTTCATCATTAACAGATCCCGTTTTTTTTTAATTTATTCAACAATTTGCGTATTGTTTTGTTTGTAGCACCTGGCTTATGAAATGTTCTTTTAAACTTCTCTCTAACTTCTTTGCATTTTTTT